ATTATTTTTATTTATTCAAATGGTATTTAGTTGATGACTATTTTTAATTAACTAATTAGATAATGGTATAAATGTAAGTTCAACAATCAAATAACAAATTAGGTTTTAGGTGCACCAACTTGAATAGTTTAGGATTAAGTGTTAAAAATTCAATTTGAGAACTTTATTTGTAAAAACTCGAGAGTTTTAGAACTAAACTTAAAGTTTTTTTTTTTTATATAAAATAACATTTTCGCTATTTTTTTTGCCTCTCATATCTAAAAGAAAAGATTTTCTCTTATTTCAGATCTGAATATAGGTTTTTTTTTTCCTTGTCACATCAAATCTAAATGGTATGGTTTTCCTCATTTTAAATATAAAGGTGATTGGTTTTTCATATTTCAAATGTGAAATGAATATTTTTCATTTCAGATATGAAAAAAAATGATTTTTCTAACATTAGATCTGTAGGTGGATATGAGTATTTGTGTGGGGTAAAAAATGAAAGAAAAAAAAATAGAAAATTAGATTTTAAGAATACTCAAGAAAGAAAATGTTATGGAGTATAAAATCTGGATGGGAGAGATACATGAGAAATTATTGGTAGAGGGGAAGTAGACTGAAAGATCATCCCCGAAAGGAAGAAGACTAGCTCAATGTAAAAATTTCAGCACAAGAGAAAAGGTTCAGAACTTTAAACCTGAAGGTAATTATTAGCAGTTTATTTCTCTTACAAATTGTTTTTGATTGAAATATAATAATATGCTTGATATGTTTAAATCTTTAAAATTAAGTTAATATCAATGCATTATTTTTATGATGTCTTAGTTATGTATTAGGGATTTGTATATTCATAAATTAGTTTTATTTTTTTCTGTTTCCTATTTTTTTAGTAGATTAGAAAAATATTTGGGTATCACCCATAAAGAAAATACGTTTCCTATCTTTAGATCTTAAAAATATTAGTTTTTCTTATCTCAAATCCAAAGGAATGGTTTCTCTCCGTCAGATCTAAAGATAATGGTTTTTTTTTTTTTAATCCATAAATTTTGAAGAAATCTGTTTCATCTCTCTCAAATATATGAAAGGAATTTTTGCTATAATCTTATATTTAGAAGGGGATAAGTGTATCTGTGAAAATGAGGTAGAATGTTGGAAAGATGATTGATCATTAAAGAAAGGATAATAATGAAAGCACGATAAAGAAAGCAAAGGGGAGAAATGAGAGAAGTAGAGGATTATATTTTAAGAATCTCTAAAGAACAAAAAAAATGTTGTGAAATATAGAATCTAAATGGGTGACATAAAGGGAGGAGAAATTAAGGGTGTAAGAAAAAGTTACTAAAAGATCATTACAGAGAGGAAGAAAAATGGTTTAATATAAGAATTTCATGACAAGAGAGGGAGTTTTTAGGTGTTTTTGGCAAAGAAATTTTGAATTGTTTTCTTAAGGTAAATGTTAAAAATTTATTTATTTTATTAATAATTGTTCTTAATCCATATAGATTTTGACCTCCTCTTTGTGTTGTTTATAATGTTAGGCAAAGACAATGGTTTTCCTTCCATCTCAAGTATTTTAAAGTTTTTCTTTGCGAGGGTGGAGTAAGCAAGACTCTAAAAAGAGAAAAATTTTCTACGTTTGAGGTAATTAAGTATTACTAATGAATACCCTTAGATATTGTTATTGAAAGACATAATTGATATATCTTAAATGTAGTTAATTAAAATTTTATATTTAAAGTAAGAAAACAAAGAAAAATGTTCGGCTTTTCCTCTAAAGATATTAAAATAATTTGTTTATTTATTAAACATTTGAGTGTAATGTAGTAATCATAATATCAACAACCTACTCTCCGAACTGACTTGATTTAATAAAAAAAATTGATATACAGTTGTTTCACAATTGAGTATAATGATAAACTTCTTTAAAATAATCAAGATATCAAATGGGAATCATACAACAACACAATTTTATAAACACAAAAAATAGCTGTCATTAGCTTTCAGAATTTATTTGTAATGCTTCCTAGGCTATGCATTCTTATTTTCCTAACCCAAACACTTAGTCCAATGTGACCAAAACGTAAAACACTAAAGCTTCTCTTACAAAACATGTCAATTAATTAGGCATACATAATTTGTGTTCCAAGACCATATTACCATCTATCAAAACATCTTTAGTTCGGACATCCCACGACAAATCAACTACTATGACAGTTATATTTTGTTGACTTCCCTTGCAAGAGCAAGGGTGGCAACCATCGATGCTACAAATGCACTTTTTGTAGGAAACATTGTAGGATCCATTTCATTGATGTGAGTTTAATTACCCTCCACAACAACATCTGGGTGTAGTAGCTTGATTCTCATCCTTAGGGCGAGCTAACTCTCTTACAAACAAAAGCATTGACAATACATTCTATAACCCAATTGACGCAAGAATCAAGAATTTATCTTCAAATTCTCCTTTTCTTATGGTAATCTCAGGTTTAGTTATTATGATGCTTTTAAAATGAGAGTTACTTGTTGATCAAAATGTTGACATTAAAATTTGATCAATCATTTTATCTAATATATAAACAAATTAATCTAATTAATAATAGAGTCCAAATATCAATAACCACATTTAGGAAAGATTTATTGGTAGTGGTATATACAAAACACTACAAGAAAATCTACATTTAGTGACTAAATTATTGATCATTAAATTTTTATTTTTCATCACAAATTATTATTAGTGATAAAATTTAAACTGTTAGTAAAATCTTTGTCACTAATACTCTTAGTGACAAATTAAGCACTTGTCACAGAAAATAATTTTATAATGATAGAAAAAATTGACATTGTTAACAAATTATTTATAACAATTTTATTCGTCACAAAAAAATATTCGTCACAAATGCAATTATTATGCAAAATTTAGTCATTAATTATTAAAATTGATATTAAATAAAAAAAGATTTTTATATAATTACAACACAAATATTTTAACAAAAAATTTGTCACAAAAAATAATATATAAATTTATCACAAAAGTTTAATAAAAAATATTATTATTTCAATACTAATCAATTTTGATTAAAATTAATCAAGCTCGATTAAAATTAATCAGGCCCAAACTAATCTCAAGTTTTATTGAGTTTCACATGTTTTATAGTGCAAAAATTTATTTTTTTTAAATATTTCTTATTGTTGTGGGATATATTTATAGTGTAAAACTTTATTCTCTTATGTGTTTTTTATCGATGTGGGATGTATTGATTAGAGAAAATTGACGGTTTTTAGTGACGAAATATATTTTTTAGTGATAAATTATTTGGTCATCATTGAATGTGTAAGGTATATGTGACAAATATTAGAATTTTGTCATAATTGTAATGCATTATAGTAATAATTTTTATCTATAAAAACTTATTTTATCTTTATAAACATTTTTCAATAATGAAATATATTTTTTATGATGAGTTTTTTTGTTCATTATTAAATATGTATACATCTGTGATTAATTTTTTAAATTTGTCACAATTGTGATAAGTTATAGTGATAATTTCAAATTTTATCACAAATTTCTATCACTAAAAATCATTTTTCTTGTAGTGAAATGAAGAGGAAAAGAGACAATAAAAAAAAAAAATAGTGGCTCAACTAAGGGTTGAATGTAATTTGTAATTTATCTCTCTATTATATAAAAAATATATAATGTTTTTGATAAAAAGTGCCTTTGCAGCATTTATATTGTCATCTTGTTCTAGTACAAGAGGAAGTCAGGAAAAAACAACCGTCATTGTTGGTGATTTGAA